TGCTATATTTTTTTAGTTATTTTAGAAAAACAGTTTTTTTCAACTTTGCGATTTTTTTTAACCATGTTCGCCATATTGGATCGAGTTTAAAGAACAAGAAACTCAATTTAAAATTTAATTTTCTATACGGTTATATTTTTTTTGTCCAGGTAATAATTTCTGCAAATTTAACATTAATCCGTGACAGAATGCTTGGACTAATACAAAGCATTTCGTTGTCGCACGAAAATATACAAGTCGTTTTTTTTTAAGGTATGTTCGTTGGGGCGGCGATCAAGGAGCTTCGTGACCCGGTGGTACCCGCTCTCGTATCCCTTGTGCGTCACTACACCATGGTGGCGGTGGCCCAGCAATCGGGAGCATTCGCGTACAGCCCGAAGTGAGTTTTCCAGGCCCGTATTCGACCCTTTCTGATTCCAGTTGTTTCAGGCCCAACAAACAGATAACTTTGGACCCGCTCGTGCTGGTGGACGCCTTGGCCATCATAATGGGCCACGAGGAGCGGGAATTGTGCAAGCCTGGCCATCTAGGATTGGTTTTGATCGTGGACACTGCCTCCACGCTCTTGGGAAGCCGCGAGATGGTCAGAAACGCGCCTTCGCTTAGTATTCCCGGTCTAACGTTTTATTTCTAGGCCTGCCGTTTGCCGCTGATCGAGTACCTCTCGGAGAAGATGTGCTCGTTGTGCTACGAGAGAGCGTGGTACGCCAAACTCGGGGGGTGCATAGCCATCAAGTTCATGTTCGAGCGGTGCGCCTTGAAGTGGGTGTACGAGCACATGTTCATGTTCCTGAAGGCGCTGCTCTTCGTCATGATGGACCTGACGGGGGAGGTGTCGAGCGGGGCCCTGGACATGGCCAAGGACAACCTCCAGAAGATGCTTATAGTGTGCGTGACGCCGCCGCCCGACGGGTCGGACCAGCAGACCAAAGATCTGCAGAACGAGGCTCTGCACAAGGTCACCCACGAGCTGGTCAGGCAGGTCACCAGTCCGCACACCATGGTTAGGGAGCAGGTAATGAAATTTTTTTAAAATTTACGGGATTTGACCTTTAAAAATATATGTATGTCGTCAAAACTCTATTTTCTTGGATTGGAATCCGGGGCGAAGGAAGTTTGCTCGCTGTCTTCACACAATGAGAGGACATTGACCTTGGAATTCACGAACTAAACATAGTGCTTTTTTAAAAAAAATTATAAATTAAATATACCGTGAGCGGTAAAAATTTTGGAATATATAGGGTGTAACGTAAAGGTTGGGAAAAAATGTAACGGATTTTTATTTTAAGAAATAAATATTTGTCACGTAAAATTATGCTCTGCGGATTTTCTTTTCCAAATTACGGGGCGCTAAAAAATTCCAAAAAATTTAGCTTTTTAACACCATTTTCAAAGAAAAAATCTTTTTTACAAAAGTTTTATTTACAGAAAAATTATAAGAGCTAGAAATAAAACGCAACGAGGTAATTTTGTTTAAAATAAAAAGTGGATCATAAAAAATATTAAAAAAATGTTTTTACCAGTGGCGCACCACAATTTTCTTCGAAAAACCTTACGGTACAATCCGTACGCACACCACTGAGAAACTTACAAAATCGATCTTTTTCCTGTTTTTCAAATTAAGCAAAGGCTAAAATTTCATTCCATTATCTTATAATGTTCGAAAGTTATTGGAGAAAAACTAAATTTTTTAAAACTTTTTAGTGCCCTGTAGCTTGGAAAAGAAAACCCGTAAAGCATAACTTCATATGAGAAAAATTTATTTTTTAACCCAAAAAATCCACCGTTTCATTTATTCCCAACCTTTATGTTACACCCAGTATTTATTTAAAAATCTGATGTTCGTTATTTGAAAAATCGCTCGCACCCGTTGAATTATATTTTTAGTTGTGCATTTTCTGACTCAATTTTCATTTATACAGGGTCGCCCAAAAAAAGTTATGAAATCAAGGCCAACTTTTTTAATTGAAAACCCCACTTTTTTGTATTTTTATTCGATTCTCCATGGAATTCTTATTATTTTTTATGTAACATAACCTATAACTATCTTTAACTGTTTTCGAGATAATGGCGTCTGAATATAGAATATGGAAAATTTTCAAAAATTACTCTCGATACGTCAAAGTCGGTGGGAACTGGTGCACTTTCTGCTAAATACATTTTGTGTTTTTCAAACATTTAAGCACAGCTAATGAACATAATTCTTAATTTTAGTTTGTTTGGTACAAACTGACAAAGCCAGAACACAGCAAGAATAATGTGAAATATTCAGTAACAAATATCCAAATCATACAATCATTCAAGCTACTGTAAGAAAAATTTGCAAAAAGTTCAGAATTATAAACTAATTCAAACAGAGTTAAATTAAATGTTCAAATTGGTTTCTTGACAATACCCAAGCCTATTACACCAGGAAAATTAGCGAA